AAAACAATGGACCATCACCTACTGAAAACTTCATGTTTTGCACTTTTATGTTTGGTACAATATTGTTGAATAGTACTTGGATACTTAGTATAAAGCACTCCTCAAACACAGTCAAAAGGCAGGTTGTTAGCCTTTGGTAGTACCCATCTTTCACGAGCCCACACTTACTCTATTCTCTCTGTTAAAATATGAGCTGAAGGTGAAGGACACACATTAGTCTAAAATTTAGAAAGGAAATGAAAAAAGCTATGAAAGAGAGTCTAAAGCTATTCTTCCTAGTTTCAACTCTATCATTTCCTTCCTTCCTTTCTTTGGTGGATATGTGAAGCCAACTTTCTGGTACTGAAGCAGCAAAACAACCACTTTGCATTCTAAAATAATCAAATATGTGTTATTTCTGTGAGGCAGTCATTGTAAATTTGGGCTTTCTTTAATTGGATCGAATATGAGTACAGTAGAAATTAGACAAGACTGGTTACTAAGTACAGTTGTCACACTGACCTATTTAAGAAAATTTAGAAAATACTTGCTTTGTGTTTTTGTAACCAAATTTTAAAATATATCATTATCTTGTGTGTCAAACTCTATTGCAATATTCTATTATGTTATTTAATATGTAAAGTAAAAAATAAAGTATTCTTTTCATTTAAGAACATACAATAAGAAATAAATGTATCAAACTGACTGACAGTGGCTAGTTTAATTTAAAATTAGAAATCTTTGGCTTGGTATGAGGATATATGAAAAATAGAGCAAGCATATGGTGCCAACAATAAGGGGAGCATCGTGATCCTGTCTTTGACATTCCGTTCTTATCTCTTTCCTGTAGCCCTCTCCATGATTGTATTTCTATAACTTAAAAATATCCACAGAACTGGTCAAATGAAGATGACAGTAATATTCTTTAACTGGAGATAAAATAATGCTGTGGTGTACCTAAAGTGCAGCATACCAGCTAAAGTCAGCCTTCCAGACAGGAAGTAAAGGTCTCTTTCATTACCAACCCTCTTTCTGAGTGTATCCCAAATGAGCAGAGAAGCATTTTAGTTCATCAGTTGAGTGTTATCAATCAAAATCATTAGTACATCTATTTTTGTTCACTAAAATAAATTGGTCTGGAAGTTTTAATTGCTTTGCAGAATAATATGTAGGTATTAAATTTGGAACAGACAGTGGTTTTACTCTTTAACACTGAGTCATCAGATGAATAATCTTATCTTTTGGCAGCTACTTCTACTGGCTTCACCTAATATAAAACATTTATTGAGAGTCTGATACTGTTCACATATTCAGGGTACAAAAATGACACCATTTGAAGTATTCACTTTCATGTTAAAGAAACACAAAATTTGTCAAACTAACAGTAAAGGTCGAATAGTTAGATGCTACTAGAATTCAGTATGGTAGAAACTGAAAATTGACAAATATTAGTAGCCTGGCAGAGCTAAACAACTGCTTCCAATGATAAAACATATATAAAGTTGTCATAGGAAACATTTCAAGTTAATAATAGACTCCCTAAATAAACGTATCTATAGCACCCAATAAAAATACTACAAGCTGTACCCACTCCATATGTCATTATTTCATTTATACTTAATATTAAAGTGCCCAGTTAAGTAGAGTTCTCTTCAAAGACCTCTTTCTAGGCAAACGTAAACTATCTTTTAGAAAATTGGCATCCGTGTTTTCTACTGACTCATAATAACAGTAGATAACCCTGGGCGAGGATGTGACCTAACCCAGATGGTCTTCCCCTTAATCCAGATTTTTACAACCTTACTGTGGACAGCCAGGCATTGATGGTATATCAGAAGTGGTTTCTCTGGCCACATTTCTAACTTTCTGAATAACTTGGATTTCCAGGTCAACAATTTCTTCATACTATATCAACACAACATTTTATTATTAAAATTTTGTATCTACAATCAAAATAGAATCTCTAAAATGTAGGAGTACAAATATTTTCAACTGATTCTCATACTAAGCACTCAAAACCATTGATATCAAATAAGACAGAAGAACACCTATCTATATACAGATATACATATATCTGTATACACACTTGTGTATATATCTATATACACAATTACATCTGTAAAGGAATAATAATGTGAGTCACAAAGGGTATAGTCATCTTGACAAACTAATCAATAACACAGCAATTGACACTACAAGTGGATTGCCAGATTCTGACTTTCAATGAGCCATTCAAACTCTTAAAATCTCTCTGACATATTAATAAATTATTCTGTCTTTTCTCTGTATTTTGAAGACAGAAAAATTTACTGAATGGAACTGGTCCATTCACAATAATTTCTACATACTCAAACATAATAGAAGTTTTGAATAACATCTTTTAGAAGTTTTTTTTCTATTTCTTCCTCTCATGTTACAAAATTCAAATTTTAGTGTCAAGTCATTTCCAGACAACTAGAAAATCAAATATGTTCTCAATCTAAAATACTAAGGCAATCAACAGCTGGAGAGTTATTATTAGATAACATTTCTCACCAGCTGTTTGCTGGACCCTCTTGTTTTAGTGTCATAAACATGTCCTGTAACCCTAAAAACACCTGAAAATCTCATTAACTTTTACAACACTATTATATAGCTTATCTCAGACATAACTACAGAAAGCTCAGTAGGAAGACATATTCTATACCCATATAAAATTTCAACAGAGTAGGAGAACCAAAAAGAGTAAGATATATATTTGTCAAAATATTCATACTATAGATGGTACACTGAAAAACTAATCCAGCATTTAGAATCTAAACCTTCCATGCTACTAATCATGTAACAGTATATAATGTACACTGTGTATGTTCAACTGTATGTGTAACCAAACCAGTAGATACAAGAAGCTGCTGCTAAATAGAAGCACAATTTCACGATAATCATTGCAGAAAACTCAATGAGGAAAAAAAGAAGCGATGAGCTCATAAAGTAGATCAGCTAATGTTAACAAGTTAAGTCTAAAAACATTTTGACTAATATGTTAATAAGGTTCAAAAAATCCAGTCAAATTGGTTTTGAAAAGAAACAAGATGGCCTAGGGATAGTGGTTAAAAGTGCTGACTACTCTTCTAAAGGACCATAGTCAATTCCCAAAATCATCTGTAATTAATGCATATAGTACACAGACATATATGCAGCCAAAACATTCATACACATAAAATAAGTAATTTTATTTTAAGTTTAAAAAGAAATGCAATATTCAAGCTAGTAAGATATGAATGAACAGAGGGAACCAAGGTAGTAACAATAAGACTATTGAAAAATGTACATATTTTAATAAATACAGAATGCACACAAAAAAGGCAGCATAAAATAGTCTTGCATACCTATAGTTGGTTGTTAAATGTGATGCAACTCTAGAAATATGCACAGAAACTGAAAGAGGGGGAAGAACAATCAGCAGATCTTTCTCTAATCAAGAGAGTGAGGAGACAAAGAGAGAAAGTACTCAGACCAAAAGTGATGGGCTGTTCTCACTGGGAAATGATGAAGCTCTGGAAAGAGCAAAGCAACATCTGTGACATTATAAATGACCATCTTAAGGTAAAGACAGATTTGCTCACTAAATCCTCAAGAAGCTACTTCTAAGACCTGACTTTATCATTAGGAAGAAGAGTGATAGGTCACAAAGTGACTCTGGCAGGGGAATGTTTAAGGACTGAAATCAGAGTCAAACAAATTCATGAATGGCTGAGATAAGCTAAGGTTAATTCTCATCCTCTACAGTTGTTAAAGAGTGCAGCTTTGCCCTTGACACTCCAGTGGCTTCAGCAATTCAAGGTGCTAACACTCTACTGTACAGGAAGCCAATATTTCTGGGCTTCCATGTCACATGGACTATACCATGTAATCTCTTAAGTATCACTCAAATGGTTGTATCAGAAAATCTCACATCTACATTCCGGTTACTTGATTACACTGTAAGAAAATACTACCTAGGGATCATTTCTATGTAATCCCTACAGGAGACAATCTGGGTTTTCTCTTCATTGAGGGCCTGAGAGACTTATATTACAGTCTACAGTGGAAACTAATCATTTGTGCAGGTGTCTATTTTCAGGTATGAGACCAAAAAATTATATAAGCTCTAATACTGTTATAAGTGGTAGCAAACACTGAGCTACTCTGAACTTAGAAAAATTTTTAATTCATATGTAAGTGACCTATTCTAGTTTAAGTAGCTAATTAAAACAAAGTAGGATGGAATAGAAATTTCTAAAGAACAATGAATTTTGTTGATGGTTTGACATGCAAAAAATGCAGGCTTGAGGAGATGGATGCTTTTAAAGTACCATTAATTTTGTCTTTGAAATTAAACTACATTAGGGCATGTTACATTTGTTACTAATTTAAATCAGCTGTTTTCCTACTTTGAAATTAATAGTCATTTCAACTATAGGATAGAAATGTTCTAGTTATAAATTCCCAACAGGTGCTTTTCAGAGAAAATATACTTTAGCTTGCTCTGACTTGTTTATCTTAAAAACTACAATGAAAACATTTACTAACTACCTTCCAGATGAAAGGTAAAAACAATATTATAAATATGTTTTACTGCTCTCTTTAATGCTGTACAAAAATCAGTAATTCTGAACGCCAGAGAAGTACCTTTATTCTTTCAATTTTTACTGAGTTTACTAAACATAGTCTTCAGCATACTATTTGTGAGGAACAGAGTGTTTAATTAAAAGCAAAATAAATTATGCTTGTTAAAACTACACAGCTAAGTATATTCAACTCATCGACTATATTATTGCTTAAAAAATCTAGTTCCTATGTAGTATGTTGACTCCACAGGACAGAGAGCCTCTTGATATTACAGATACACTCACTCAAAGCATGTGAATCCTACGGAGTGAAGGATCCACAGATAAAGAGGGCTCTTAATGTGATACTAACCAATACTTTTTCTATCAGAATAAAAATTGACCCTTGTAGTTAAAAAAAAAAAAATTACCAAGGAGTTCAGCAAACCTTACTTCTGGCAATGGGCTGGCCGGCTTTGTTAGGATTCCTCCAACATATACAACGTTAGGCAGGGTGGGTCTTGGAAACTCCAGTGCTATGTCAGTACACAACATCCATAGGCTGGATCCATGAACCAAGTCATACATAGACTTTGCAGGCAGCAGGTTGTACTTCTGCATTATCCTCTCATATTTCGGAAGAACCAGAAAGCTAACCCCCATTCTGGATATGAGGTAAACGCCAGTATTTTTCATCCTTTCCAGGAAGTTCATGCGGTCTGTGAGAAGTGAGTTAAACTCTGGGACATAAGCTAAAGGAGCAGGCGCTCCTACTTCAGCAGGATACCAAAGGCCAGTAGAAAATACAGCATATTTAACGCCTAAAAGATGAGCGATCACAAATCCACACATATCATTGGGGTCAACCAGTAGTAGGTCAAACTTTTCTTTTTTCAAACCCTGGATTAGGACTTGGTTGCCAACCATCATGTCACAATTCTTAGTATAGTGATCCAGTATGTCAACCAGTTCAACTGCTGTCAATCTCCCAGAGAAAATATTCCGCATTTTAGACTGCAGGAAAGCATCTGAGGTGGTACTGTTGAAGATCCCTGGGTATCGCTGGAGGCTGTAGTGATTAGATGGGGCAATGTCTCTGCCTTCTGAGAGGAGGAACACAGTGTGATGGCCTCTCTCGTGCAAGGCTGATGCTAACGTCTTGAAAATGTACAAATGGCTTTCAAACATAATTGGCGGCACAATGATGATTTTAGCAGCCCTTGCTATTCCAACAGCACTCCACAGGAGCATGAAATATGGTGTGTAAGACTTCATAGCTGCAAAGACAACCAGAAAATGACTTAAAACATCATAGAGAGGCTTGCCATTCAAAACAATCACAGATACTGTATTTTCCAAAATTTCTAATGATCTAATTCTTTTAAAACATTAGCCTAATATGTGTTTCAAAAAAGCCTTCACTTAAAATAACAATATTATTATGTACAGAATTGGAAGAAATTGAAACATAATACATATTAAGACCAATTTGAAAATATATAACTTTATCAGTAAAGTAAAAAATTTTTACTCAGACAATAACTTCTGGAAAGCCTAAAGACACTTGATATTACTTCTTTGAATACTACTTATAAAATAGTAATAATAAATTCTTATTCTTAATAAATGTCATGTTAATTCCAGGAAGAGTGGCAATTTTTAATTTCCAGGTGTATCTGAACACAATTGTTACTTAAATCATTTTAATTTAATGGTAGTATTCTCAATTGTGATTAAAGGTTTCCAAGAGGGGTCACACTTCAAAAAACATTAAGTAGTAGTTCAAAAATTCTGTAGAATTTTACGTCACAGGTAAAATGACCTTTAGTATATATTTTTTTTATTTCTAAGTACACCAAATATTCTGATGGTCTGTATTTACATAACATCTTATTTGTTATGCATTGTGTTAATTCAGGCATCATTCAAATGAATGACTCTCAAAAGAAAAGTCCAAGAGCATACTGAAGAAGGGTTTGGTGAATGAATATGTCCTAGACCATACTGTATATGTGCCACCTTCAAACAGAGTGTCAACCTCAAGTCAGAGGGATGTACACTTTAAGACAGACATTTCTCCTACCCTTTCTAGTTAACAGGGTAAGTACAAAGTCTTTCTCCACATTACTGAAAATAAGCACATTATGTGTGTTCAGCCATCATGGGAACATGGCTAGGCAACTCGCCCCTGGGGAAAAGGAGTTGCCTCCAACCTTGCCTAGGACTGAGTCCACCTCCATTATGTACACAGCCACTCCTGAGGTGGGGAAGAATCTTTACTCCTCACCCCTTCCTTGCTGAATGCTGAACCCCCAATGCAGCTTGGGCTCTGCCTTGCACTATTTCCCCTTCTTGGCCTGGACCCCTCCTCCTCCTTAAAACTGAGTTCAGGGGCCTCCTCCTCCTTAAAACTGGGTTCAGGGGCCCAGTGCTCTCCTCACTTCATATACCTCTCATGGCCATTTGCACAGCTGCCCAGGTACTTTCAACAGTGTCAGGAAGAGCCAAACAAGAAGGGATGGCAAGATCCTATATCTATTTTTAAAGTGATGATATAATATGTTAGGAGGAAGGTAAGGGGCCCTGGGCCTCATCTTAGGGACTTCAGGTGATAGGGGACCTCAGGGTTGGAGAAATCTGAGGCTTAGTCCCAGAGAGAGGGGATAATATGGCCTCTACTCTCTCTATTTATGGCTTTCCCACTCGGTGCCTTAGTGAGGGTCACCATTTCCCCCCTCTCCCATTCCCTTCATCTACCATGGCCTCACTTCAGATATAAGAGACAGGAATAAATAATAATAATTTAAGGTTCATTTTTAAATAAAACTTTATAGGTAGGTTTTATTTACAAAACATGATGTGGTACTAAATCCCATATCTATAGGCATTTACAAATTTCATGTTCCTCAAAACACCTTGAGTTAAGTATTGGTTGATTCATGCATTAGAATTGATGATTTCAGATCATTTTCAGAGGATTTTAGAATTACCATGATTCTAGATTAACTATGATACAACAAATCCAATGACATATGACAGCCCTTGACATTTTATATTGAAAAGAATAGTGATTTATTTTACATCAGGCAAAACAGCAAGCAAACAATTATACCAGACCATGTTTGAATGGAGCTGTAAAGCAAAACTGATAACTTAAGAAGCCACTCAAATCATATATATGATTATTGTAAAGGCATTTAAACATGCCTCCCCCAAAAGCCCATACCCACACTTGGGTTTGTCTTACCCTTTCTCTGGCACCTATTAAATCATGTGCTTATATCATATTAAAATCTTTTTCTAATAAACTCTAACCCTACTTCATGTTGACTGGTCCTAAATTTATTTTCTGTGGCAAAGTCAAATAGCCGAGCTTCACCGGACTAAATATTTCTGAAGACAACTCCTAAGGCTACTCCAGCGAAGCAGTGTAGAGCTGTGACTGTAGCCAGTAGTCACATTGTTGCTGACAATTAAGAGCTTTTCCTTGAGTTTAGAGGCTCTACTTTTCTTTCTTAAGTAACTACAATAATCACAGCACTGCTATAAACAGCCAAGAGAATAACCATTACACTCAATCACAACAGCAGAAAATTCACTAAAACATTCTGAGATGTGCTAGATGCTGTACTGAGACATAAGAGAACGACCATGGCCTTTGTTCTCTTTTCAAGGAATAACATTCTCTACTTCAACTTGGCTCATGGACAGAACAATGAAAGTGAGTATTTCTCAGTATCTAGTTTCAGTCACATAGTCATGTAGTTTTCCTACAGGAGATATAGTGAAGCAAAGGTCTAGAAACCTCTAATGCTAAAAATTATTGACTCCTCACTGGAGCCCACAAGTAGTGAAACTAGAAGAAAAACCAATATTCTTACTATTGTTTTGTCTGTCTCCCTTATTTTGGCTAAATTGCTATCTTTTGGTCATTTTATCCCTGTATAAAATAAAGGCCCCTCGCAAATAAAGTGGAAGCAATGGTCTAGGACTGACAGTCTCAGCCCAAAATGGAAGTAATCATTACCTGAATCCCTTTAGCTTCTTTCTGAGATCAACTTTCAAGACCTGATCAGAGACAATGCTGGGCAAGAACCTTGTTCTCTAAATCTAATGCTCCTGTGAGCTTCTTCAAAAAAGAGGGTCACTGTACCCTCTTACTAGTTTCTCTTCTCAACATAACTACATTGAACATATTGCTGCTTTAAAATTCTGTTTCTGTAACTAGTGTATCGGGACCATTGGCCAGGTCCAGCATGTTGGGGCTTTTAGCATCCAGATTTCTTCCCTAAGAGCTCTGGTTACAGGAGTATAAACACTGTGTGCTATTTCCAATTTTTGCCTTAATAGTTATCACTCTTACATGCCTCCTATGTGGAATGAGATTGTGGTAATTATTAGTACTCCAGACAAATGCACTCCAACGAGTAAACCTGGAAAAGTGTAACTACAAAGATGCTTAGAGCCAGAAATGCCATACCTCTCTGGTTATGCCAGGTTACTGTCTATGAGGAGCTAAGCTGCCCTCTCAAGCCACTGTACTGTCTCTGTCTATAGCACCAGGGTGATGAATCATCAAGGTCTTCCCAGAATTAAGGGAGTCCCCAAGGGATGGACATTTCAATGCTAAAACTGGGAAATCCAGAGCAAATCAAGCAAGTGGCTCACCTTATAACTCTGACCTTGTAATTCCTATACATACATACATACATACATACATACATACATTCATACATCATGTGTGTATGTATATATACACATATATATGCATTACTTCATGTACACTAAGACAGTTGCTCTGGTTTTATGAAATAAGGTTGAGAAGGTAAGAACTTGACAAAGGCTAACACCTAGTAAATGAATCCACTTTATCCTGCTACATAAAGAGAGGGTAAAGGTTCACACTCATGCATAAATCCATCCAATTCATACACTCACACTAACTCACACACACACATACACACACATACACACCACTCACATAATGGATAAAACCCAGCTGTATTTCTATGGTTATTACTTTCACAAGAAAATAATACCTGGTGTTCTAAAGTAAAGTAAATTATGGGTAGCTATCTGCAAATAAGCCACTGAAAGTAAATATCCTGTCACAGAGTAGCAGCTTCTCAGCTTGGGGTGGAAGAGAACACACCATTTAGAAGGGTATTGCCTGTACTATCAGTTAGCTCCCACCTTAAAGAAAAGAAGTGGGGAGGAAGGTCTAGAAAGATTGCTCAGTGGTTAGCAACACTGCTTGTCCTTCCAAAGGACCCAAGTCTGATTCTCAGCATCCATGTGGCAGCTCACAACTGTCTATAACTCCAGTTCCAGGGAGATCTGACACCCTCTTCTACATTTCTAGAGCACCATGACCATACTGTGGTTTTTAGAGAAACATGAAAGCAAAGCACCCATACACATAAAAATTAAATTAAATTAAAATGAAAAATATATGCTGGGAACTCTGAAATAACTGAACTGCAATCTGAATGAAAGTCATACACTGACAAATCTCAGGTTGACCATCAGTAAGTAATGAATAGATAACTAGATTTTCAAAATGTACCACTTTTCTAAGTTTTTGTTTTTATTTACTCAGAAAACAAAAAAAAACAGAATATTTGTATGCTTGTTTGTATATAATTTCCAGGTATACACAATTTATCTACAGATATGAGACAAAAACTCTGGATAAAAAGAAAGAATGTAGTGTATTTCACAAATGTAAAAAATAAGTGATTTTGAGTTTCCCTGACTTAAGTTTCTGGTCAAAATTTCTAACACAGTCATTAAAAAAAAACTTTTCTGTGATTAAGAACTAATTTGAAGGTCATGATAAAAATATTATATTCATATTGTATTATCCTTTATGCTAACATTCCATTATAGAAAGTCAGAATGATATAGCTGTTTGGAAGTGCTACAAACTGGCAGATCTTGTTTTGTATAAAATGAAATGCCAAAAAAATTAAACACTGTCAGTAACTTTTTAAAAAGTTGTAAGGAATGCAGTATTACTATTGCCTTTGTAACAACCCAAGTAAGACATACTCACCACTCCTCACTATAACTACCCTCAGTTATCTCCTTCCTTACATCTACAGTACAGGTGGCAAAGCTGTAATGAGAAACTCAACCCGTTTCCTTTATCGGTAGTAGCTGGCTCCTGTCCACAGGGACAGTTTTTCCTCAACCAACAAGTGGAAGAAAAAATAGAAGCAAGGCTATAGAGAGGACAGGAAGACAGGACAATATGAATATCAACAAGCACTGTACT